AATGAGGGCTTGGCACACCTGGGAAAGGTGCAAAGGCACCTGGATCCTAAACCTCTTCAGTCAAACACCTGCCTGCCAGCTCTGTCAGCAGCCCCTGTGTTTCAGGGATCCTCAGAGGATCTGATTTCAGGCAAGTGGACAACAGCRTTTCCTAATTCTGCTCCTCATATCCAGGCATCTGTGAGAGCAGGATCAGTCTGGCATGCTTGAGTTTTAATTAATATTTTTAAACAGAGATTCTAAGATTTAGTTTTTCTGGAGTTCGAAGGTGAGYAAGCCTGCMTGAATAATTTCTGATTCCATTTGCTGCTGCTAGTACCAAGATTTGCCAAAAGCAGCTTTTAATGGCTAATCACCCCACTTGTCTTGAAGGGTCTGTGAGGCCTGCAGAGATATGAAAATTGCCAGGAAAGGGTATTTCAAGTGGTGTTCTAAACTTCTATAACTTTGACTGTGTTATTTTAAAGGAACTTTGCTTGCCTATGCACTATTTCTCTAGGAATGTAAAAATCCAACAACCATCACAAAAGCCATTCACATTAGCAGCCTCCTTGTGAATTTTAATGAACAGGAAATGCCACTCACGCATTGAAATTCAACATCCAGAATATCTCTGCTTTATTCCTTTGATGTTCCCCATCCAGTCCTGGACCAACATCCATATGTTCTCCTGAGACACTCGGAGGAAAATAATTTTGGTTTATTTACAGTAGGAAAGCATTTTGTCGTTGTCTTTTATCCCAGAAGCATTCGAGTTGCTTTACAAACTGTTCACACGGAGGAGCTGCTCTGTGGGTCCTTACAGCAGGKAGTGATTCCAGAGCTGTGCTCAGTCAGTTTGCACTCAGCAGAGATGCTGGAATTTCAGGAGAGACAGGGAAAATTGATGAATTAAATGGAAGTTCAGCATGATAGGGAATTCAGTTATTAGAGGTTAGATAGCCTTGGTTCCCTTAATCACATTTATCCCTTACCACACACTGAAAGGATATTGCTGGGAAATATATGAAAATCCTATATTTCCACAATAGTAACCTGAGAAGACAAGATCTGGCTYCGTGTTACTTTAAGTCTTTCATTTGCACGTGATTTTAATGAGMAAAGAACCACCCTTAATTGATTAATCTTTCCCAGACCCTCCATTTYTCCAATGGGCAGAATAATGTGATCAACAGGTTGTGCCATGGCRAAATATCTTCAGGCTTAAATCCTTCTATTTTAGCCCTTCATCCATCCTCTTTCCCCAGTTATTCCTTAAGCTGTGTAGTTCATGTACCCCACCTGGGGTACAGCATTGCACCCTGTCCCCATCAGTGTCACCCCATGGGGTCACACTGACACTGTCACCACAGGCAGAGCTTGCAGGTGGCTTGGCCCAYCCTGAATGCTCCATTCTGCAATCAGAACTGAATTTAAAATCTCTGTCCTGGAGTTGCAACAAGCTCAGTCCTCATCCCCAGCCCAGGTAAAGCCGGGCTCTGCTTCCTGGCAGTGATACTGATACCAGTGGAATCCTCTGTTGTCTCATAGTTCCAGCTTCTCACAGCCCTGTTCCCTCCTGTAGTGCTAAAAAGTCAAAAKCGGTGATGTTAGAAAATTTTAGATTTTGAGATCTATGGAGACTGGAGCTGGTCAAGAAAGCAAATTCCATTTATACCATCTGGAAACGACACAGGGTGGGAAAAGGCACCTTGGAGCATCCCAGAAGGACACAGCGCTCCTCCTGTCTTCATCAGTTTTCCTTAAAACTCTCCGAACCACAGAATATTTTATTTTCAGAACCAAAATGAGCCAGACCTCAGGGTCCTTGTGCAATGTGACCACAAGATGTCACAGTTGCTTCACTGCGGTGCGTGGTCCTGCCTTTCCCGTGTCCCAGTCCTGCCCCTTTCCCACTCCCAGCCTTCACCCGCCGTTCTCCAGGTATCCCTATGAACACACACTCTGGTATTTGGTTTTTTTGCTGCTGTGTTTTGGTGGGTTTTTTTT